TACAGTAGGTTAAAAAGAGTTTATTTAAAACACCTTGTTAAGTAATGGCATACTTAGGAGTTTATAGATATGCAGCATATGGAATTATTCATGATACCATGGGAATTGCATAACGGTATATAGAGACTGCTTGTGACATCGACGTACAGTTTTTCTTGTTTAATAAGCCAAAACAAGGTAGAACCAGTATTTTGCATTTCTATAGGCTATGTGCTTTAGGAAATTCTGAGATTTCTAAGTTATTTCTATAAAAGACATCAGTTCACAAGACCACTTCTTTGTTGAGCTGTAATCAAGCTTTCTGTCTTCATCTCACCAGAGATTCCCGGCCCTCCCCTAATGCTGTTATTTATATGTGAAGATTCAAATGATCATCAGTGCACCAATTTGGTTTGTATAGCATGTTTATATTCAGAAGATTAACACTTTTTTTCTTTTAACGTTACAACTTTAAGATGCATAAGAATTCAATGAATTCATAAGGACATTCAGCCTAAATTTAGATCAAATCAAAATGATATTTCAGCTGCTTTTAACCATCTCTACTCGTTTTGCCGTGTCTCTTGCACAGCATCAATACACATCTCTCTGTAAAAAGGCTGAAAAATTACTTTGAGATTGTAAGGGGTAGAGTAAAATGAGATCAGCTCTGAATATAAGCCAGATTTCTTTTGGCCTGTTTTCCTCCTCTCAGCATTCAAATGAATTGACACAGACCACTGAGCAAATACAAAACAGAAGGTAACCAAAACCCCTCCACTTGGTGTGCTCTGAGCTCAGAGTTCACAACCTCTGAAGGCTGTGAAGGTTTCTGTCAGGCCTACTCAGTGTTCTGGACCATTGTGAGATACAAGACTTGTCTCAAGCGCCTAGTGCTTCTGTGGCTGCAGAGGGTAGATGGGATGTAAGTCCCATGCTGAAAAGGCTGTCCAGTTACCCTCTATAGTGTAGTGAGCATTTTTTCCCCCAAAGTATGTTGATAGATAAGTAAGACTTGTAAACAAAAGTTGCTTCAGACTCTAACAGATACTGTTTTGATCACTTCAGAATAATTTGATAAAGTTGTATTGAAGTTCCTCCCTCTCCAAGCTGTTCTCTTGACTGATTTCTCTGGATTACTTTTGTTGTGATGTCTAATCTTTCTGCTGGCATCACACTCCCGCAATCTTTTGTTGCTGTGTGCTGAGGACTGTCAGAGTGGTCACTTCAGTTTTGCATTACCTTTGCCTGTACTTACTTTGGCATCATCACCCTTTTTAATGCAGGCCATGAAGCTGCGTTTGGCATAGTATTGCTTAAATTAATTTTGAAGGTGCAGTGTAGTTTCTGCAGTTCTTTTGGAGATGAAGATTTGTGTAAATAGTGGCTAGAAGTATGCTTTTCATTTTGATGTTCAGATTAGCTTGATTCAGATGAATAATAGAGAATTGTGATGATAACACAAGATGGCATGATCTGGTGAAAATGATTGTAAACAGAACAAATATTACAAATAATAGAGTAAGGTTCAGTGCATATTTGTATAGAATGTAAGCAAATACTATTTCTAGTTTCTGTCTTGTTCCACTGTGACAGCTGCTTGAAATCTAAGCATATGGAATTATTTAACTGTTAGTCACTCTAAGTGCCTCCCAAACAGAAAGGAGGAAGCTTATTCATTTTCTTTTTTTCTGGCAGGCATTCTTAATGTAGTGGAATAGCAAACTCATCCTACTCTTACTTGAATCTTTTTCTTCTTTCATTCCAAGGCAACCCTGTGGACCTTGGACATCACATGAGGGAATATCTAACTGTTTTATGTTAAACTGAATGTCAAGGATTTTTATGGGAAGATGGTTGTGTGAATCTGCCCCTTCATGCACTCTTAGTTCACCACCTTCTGTCTCATTCCTTCCTTTGGTAACTTCTGTCACCTGACAGGAGACGATGAACAAAGTGAGAAATAGCAGCTAAGAAATTGCAAGCTAGTGATGAAGTTAGTATTCAAGCCACTTGGTAGTGGCTTGAATGTACATAGGAACCAAAGATTATTTTTTCCTTTAGTGATCCAGAACATCTTTGCTTCTTGCTTGAGAAGGGAAAGAGACACAACTGTCCTTTTCCATTTATCTCTGTAGGACAGGGCTGAAATAATGTAGACATGGACACAGACCAGAAAACATGCATTTCTGCATCTCAATCAGAGAAACATTTCCACAACAATGGAAATTGTCGATAGAGAATGGCTTCTTAAACCTGTAATTTTAGGAAATTTGCCAACAGTTCATATGGTAGGATTGAAAAGAGATTAGTGGAAGATGAGTCATGATGTATGCTATGAAATTAGAGAAAGAAGGAATGCAGAAAAGAAAGAAGAAAGTAAGAAAGACAAATAGATTGTCAAGAATAGAAAAGTATATTTTGAGGACCAAAATCATGATTAATGGACAAAAAAATGCATGTCCTACCTCACCTGGGACAGGAGACAAAGCTGAATTGCTGAAAACATATGCCAAGCTTCGAAGTCTGTGTTGGTGTCACTTTTATGATTGAGTAAAGTAACTTTAAAAGGCAGTGGTATAGTTGTTAAAGCTTTTACTGTTGTTTTGAAAGAAAACTTAATGTTTGGTTATGTCTGTTTTGTATTTTATATTACCAAAACTTCTCAGTGCAGATGCACTTTAATAAAAAGCATGTTTGTGTAGCAGATTTTTTTAGCTCTTTGATTTTGTGTTCTTCAAAACTTTAGTAATATTTCTATTGCAGTCCTTTCTGCAGTATTCAAATTCTGGTCTCATTTGTGCAAAATGATAACTCTTGGGGAGTTGATGAACACTCTTTTCAGACAAGTGATTTTACTAGTTAAGCAGGCAAATGTTGTATGTGAAGTGGGCATATCTCTACCAGATGGTTATTATTAGGTGATTTTTAATGATGCTGTTTACAAATAACAAGGAAAAAGACATTTTGGAGTACAACAAAGGCACGTGCAGAGCATATTAACAGCTATGATTCCTGATGTGCTGTTGGCATACAGCAAGCACTGATTATATCTTGATTTGCTCTGTCTGTCTCTTTTGAGGGTGAGGAACCTTGGATAGTCTTGCTTGGAGTAATGTATACAAAGTAGGCTCTGTCAGAGAGTCAGTGGCCATTTAAGTGCACTCCAGCTCTTTCTTGATGTACGTTATCTGTGTGGAGGTTCTGCATTACTTGTATTGTGGGGCAGAAGTTTTTCTGTGCCAGTAAAAACAGAAGTAAAGGGGAATGGCCCTGGTGAATCAGGTGGAACAACCATCAGCTGTTTCCTTCTTCTGTTTCAGTTATAGATTCACTAGTGACAGAGGTTTAAATGCTTTATGCTTCCATGTATATATATATATATATATATATGTATGTGGAGGCTTTTTGGTCAGAGGTTTTAGGTAACAGACAGGATGAAGGCATTTGAGTCCTTGCCTCTGCCATTTCTTTCATTCTGAAATACGATGTTTCCTAGTGGCACCTAGTGAATATAACAGTTGGCCCCAAATATCTCCAGTGATGTTCTTTGGCTAGGCAAAATATGGCATGCTCTGCCGAGCCTCTGCAACACAGGGAGATTGCTTTGGAAAGAAAAGAAGGAAAAAGGGATTATAGGCACATTAACAATTGGATTTTCAAAATATACAGGTTGCTGTGAAAGTAATACCTCCTATTTATTTCCTTGGAAACTACAACAGGTACAAAGAGAACTGTCACGCTATTTGGTAGAGAAAATTCTCAGCCACAAAACAATATTGTTCAACATAGTCCATCATTAGGTATGCATTTTCAGCAGTGATAAACAAGAGCCTGTATGCCGCTCTCAAAAAAATCTGTACCTGTTGAGGTGACCCACTGTTTCACAACTGCTATGATGGCATCGTTGCTAGGAAGATGCTGCCCATGCAGTGCATCTTTCATCAGCCCAAACAGATGAAATCCGGAAGGGACTAAATGCTGGATGTGCCAGTACTGTCCAGACAAGATTGGGAATGTGCTCCATGGTCTTCAAGCTGATACAAAGCTTGGTGTTATTGCAGTGCAAGATAAAGATTGTCTTCTTCCTTGAGCTGACTATGGAATAGTCATCAGAGACATCAGAGCTGATGAAGTGTCTGGGTTACAGGAAAAACAGAAGGATCACCCCTTTCCTGTCACGAAAGAGAACTCACATCACTTTACCTGCTCAGGTCTTAAACTTTTCTTCGATGGGGAATTCACTTTGCAACTCCGTGGACTGCCATTCTTACTATGGCTTATATTGGTGACAGCATTTCTCATCACCAGTAATGATGTAGTCCCGGCAATTGTCGCTTTCAGCCTTATATTTGTTCAGTAGATTGTGACAAATTTGCGGACAGTGTTCTTTCTGTTCCTGTGTGAGTATACCTGGGATCCACCGGATGCAAACTTTGTGATATTCCAACATTACCACATTTCTGGAGCTGATATTCAGCTCTGTACAGAGTTCCGTTGTGGTAATCTGCCAGTTTGTGCAGATATGCTGATTGAGACATTTTGTGGTGTGACAGGTGTGTCTGGCCATCCAGAATGTGGCTCGTCTTTCATGTCATTGTTGCCACTGCTGAAACGCACCACCTACCCTGCATGCTGCTCACATTCATTTTTGATCTCCATAAACGTTCAGCAAGCTTTGATAAGTGTCGTTGGGTGCCATTTTTTCTGAATGGAGAAGTTCAGCAACACATCTTTGCTCCATCTGCACTTCCATTCTATCAGACTGTTCCTCTGCTGCCATCTGTTGTGTGGCAACAAAATGTTATGGGATACTGACGAGAAGATACAGCCTCTACTGCCATACCACCAACATCCACCTCTGACGTCGTGGCCAATGTGATAAAATAGGAGGCATTACTTTCAGAGCAGCTGTGGTATATCTCCTTTAGCCTTCAGTGTAAAGAAGAGAGGCAAGAGAACAGTTTCCACATACCTATGAATGTGGTTTTATTTAATGATGACCAAAATGAAAAGGCAGCATGTTTAGCAAACTAAAAAGAAATAAGAATGTAAAATATTCTTAAAAAATAATAATAATTCCCTATAAATATTTCTATTTTTTGTTTGATGAAAATACTAATAAAAGATATAGAAAATACAGTTTTTAAGGGAACTGTGAGGATTAAACTTGGCTTGGTTTTTTTTGTGTGTGGGGTTTTTGTTTTTTAATTTGTTTGCTTTTAAAATTTAATTTCAGGAAATATCCTCTTGTGTATAGAAATGAAAATTCATTTTTGAGCTCTTTAGATAAATCTTGCCTGGTGGGGCTGGTTTGACTTCCTTGACAGAATGAAAGAAAATGTATTCAATTTGTGGCTTTTATCCAAAACTGCTTGAGTTTCCCTTCTGCGCGTCGTTAAGTGCTGAAATTTAATCATGCTCAGTCCATAACAATATACCTTCAATTTAATTTATTTCAATAGTCTGTACTATGATGGCTGATATTTTTATCCTCAGTAGAAAAGCTTTCCTCACCACATGACCATCTGCAAAACTTTACATCTTTTTTTAGTAACCAAATTGTTGCTTATGACACAGCATAGTTAGATCACCTTGTTACAAACATATTTTTATGCCAAGGGCTCTATATGAACTGTGGATGATTTTGACGTGGGCCTGAATTTTTTAATGTGCTTGGAAATTCCATTCCCAAAAAGCTGGCTCATTCTACAACACATATCAATGGAGCGAATGAAAGAATGAGTAGGCGGTACCGCTAAAATTTGGACTGTGAACACAATAAAGAAAGGTTTTCCCACAGGGTAGTGCTGTAAAATTTTTTTGCAAAATTATTTTATGTACTGAAATTCTCAAGAGAAGTCAAAATGAATGGTTTCATGTGTTTTTTCAGGAACTACAGTTTGAGAGACTGACTCGAGAGCTTGAGGCTGAGCGTCAGATCGTAGCGAGCCAACTGGAGCGATGTAAACTTGGATCAGAAACTGGAAGCATGAGCAGCATTAGGTAATGCATGAACTGCTAATTTCTTTGTTGGGTGTTGAAAATAGTATTGATTGTGGTGTGAAACAATTATACAGCAAGGATGATGAGCTTTTAGCAGAGTTTGAAACTTCAATTTTTATTTTGAAGTTCAAGAGCAGAAGGAATTTTGTGTTATTGTTATCTACTTTGTCCAGTAAGGTGGTAGTGATGCTTGGGATTTGTTGACTGGCAGCTTGCTATAGGCTGAGTGGATTAAGAGAAAAACACCTGTTTTTCAAATACGGCTACCATTTCCACCAAAGCTTCTCAGCTTTAGATCTGCAGAAATGCAGTGATAAGTGTATAAACTTATTTTATCAAAACTTCATCAAGATATTAAAAGCTTTAGGGATTCTTTCAGCTGTCCGTAAAGCTGCTGACCTGACATTAAAATGTAGTGATAAAATATGAATCTCTATCTTTTTTAAACACTGGCGCTCTTAAAATCAATTATTTTGTACATTGTTTACATAATGGAAGTATTATTTAAGAAATTGTAACAAGAGAAGGCTGATCCCTTGGTCAGTTTGGTGCAACTAAAGGTTTTGTAGTCTTTAGTCTGTAGTAGGTTTTGAACTACTTCTCAGCCATTCTTTTTTCTCTGGTGAACTTAATAAATAAAAGATGATAATTTGGGGGTTTCAAGGACCAAGAGAAATGCTGTGTGGACATGTCTTCTGTTTGTGTCAGTGGAAATACTAAGTGTGATGTGTTGGAATATGTAAGATGAAGAATGATAGACAAAGCTTAGTATGAAGTTTTATGTGATTTAAATAGAAAAAGCCTGTAAAAACCCTGTCACTATTGGAATAAACTCTTCTTCAGTTAAAGTAACTCAAACTGTACTTCAATTAAAGGAATGATTGTTTTCCATGGTAAGTAGGAAACAGTCGTTCTGCAGAATGCTGCAAATGCAACAGAAATTCAAAATGTATCATTAAAGTAGCAAAACTCAGATGGATCTTTCACTAATTCAACCATTGTACATGAAGTTCACTTAAATATAAAAAAAAGTCTTAACATTAAATCATGAATTAACATCCTAAAAGAAAACCCTGTTCTATTTTATGTATTATTCTCTACTAGCTACACTTCTATAAGCATTAGGAACAACTGCATTACTTTGAATTATTTAAACACAGTATGGTACTGTGTTTGCACTTGAGGTACATTCTCACTGTACTTTCAGTTTTGTGTATGCATGCTTGTATTTCAAAAAAGCTACCTGAGTCATGTCTGAATAGTGCTGTTACCTTATGATCCCTATGATTATTCCTCATAGTATTTTGGAGACTGTGAGATTTCTTGTTTGGAAGAGAATATGTTCTAAATATGTTCTTTTGCTTTTTGGTTACTGGTGGTTTTTTTTTTTTTGTTGTTTTTTTTTTTTTTTTTGGTATCTTGACTTCTAATCTCTCCATAGGACAAGCTACTACTGTGGAGATTTCATGTAGAACAATTTGCCCCAGACATGTTATACTTGGAAGAGTTTAATATTTCTAGCATCTCAACTAGAAATGTTTAACCAAATACTGGAAAGAAATACTGGAAACAATATTGAAAGCTTATAATTGAAATGTATTCTTAGACTTGGAATGTGATTTTCAGAGGAAATCCATCATCATCTAGTATGATGTGATATTTTTCCTGTATATACTAAATGATTTTAAATTTTTGTTAGTATGAAACATATTTTAAAATAATGGGAGAGATTAGAACTATCAAAAATACTAAGTCAGGTCAAATATCAATCTGGATGTTGTGCTGACTTTCCATATGACTGGAGTCTATGGAGGCAGAGAGACTTGCTTAAATAATCTTTTTGTTAGATATAACCACCTGTGAAGCTCTGCTTTTTAGACACATATGCTTTGAAACAAAGTTGTTAATTTTGTTGCAAATAGTTACTATTTTTTTAAGTGGACTCTTTTAGTGATACAGTATATTTTGAAGGATTTCACAGCTTTGTTGTTCAGCCACTCAAAGTAAACCCAAGAAGTCTGAGACAGATTACCTTCCCCACAATAACCATATGAAGAAATGTCATTCATTCAAATGTTACATCACTTTAATGTTGATTTTTTGCTATTGAGTTGGAAGTGATAATAAGTTTCTGAAGCATTCATTAGAAGGCTACTACTGGATTTCCTGTTAATCCTGTGATTTCTGCAGTCATAATGGTAATCTGTGTAGTTAACTGGTTGTTTTGTGTTTGTTTTTTCAATAACACAATCAGAATTAATTTTTAAAAACTGCTTTTGTTTAATACTAAAATAAATTGATCCAAGTTCTAGGGATTGGCAATAAATAAATAAATAAATAAATAAATAAAAATTCCTTTGAGATTAAAGATTTAGATCCAGCAGGGATTAATTCTGTTCTGTGACTTTTTGTAATAAATATGTAAGCTCACGTTAACATTTAAAGTTTATTTGCTTTCCTACTTCAGTCAATGCATTTCAGGCTTAAAAATCCAAGTGATGAGAGCAGTTTCAAAAATGTAGATTAAGTTCTAAACAAAGAGATTAAGAGTTTTCAGAATGTGAAATTGTACAGGGGAAACCAGAGATATTTAAGGCTAAAACAATTATATTTTTTTCTCATTAATGAGATAAGTGTTTAAGAATTAAAAATGCTCACAAAAAGAAATTCTTACCAGAATTACCCCATCTCTGTATCTGAACATGGTGGCACAAACCCATTGAGATCAATTTCAGTATGGGGGAAAAAAAGGAAGAGAACTGAGTGATCAGAAGAATAAATCTGTGGCTAACAAATGAATAAAAGAACTTGGATTCTCTTAATCTTCTTTGAGCCCAGTACTTGGGAAGTCTGTTTCCCTCTGAAGAAACACTATAGATTTTAGTATCTCTGTCTTTTTACATAGAGATTTTAATGTATGTAAGTGGATTGTATTTATGATTTCCACTACACCCTATACTGTATAGCATTTATTGTAGTGTGTGTTTCTATCTATCTGTTAAGCTTTTGTTTTGCAAAATACAAAGTTGTTTGACTGATGTGGAAGTGTCTTATTAGAGAGGGGAAGAAAGTCCCCCTTCTTCCTTCCTGAGATTTTATCGTAGGAAGTCCTACTTTTGAAGCTTCGTCCTCCAGTGTTTTGTTTGCTCTGCCTGAGTATAGCTTGTATCATTCACCCTACTTGCATCCTTATGCTGCTAAACTTCTAAGGAAAGAAAAAGGCAGTGGTTTTCTTGTAGCTGGGGGCTGAGTGATATGTTGTAGAAGCCCCCAGAAACTTTCACCATAATTCAAAAAAGAAAAAAAAAAAAAAGCATGCTTAAAGAATATAAATCACATCTGCTCTGGGTGTTAGTTTTTTTTAACACTTTTCTTCTTCTGGCATATACATAACAGTTCAGTAATCAGTTGTATTACAGCTCTTTTCACCTGTGTGGAAAGCCTATATAACCTTTGCTAGCTAGTATCAGTGGAGGACTAAAGCTATTATAAAACTGCATGAACAGCCATAAAATACTATTTTATGATCTTATCATCATAAAATCATAGAATTGCTCAGGTTGGAAAAGACCTTAAAGATCATCAAGTCCGACCATACTACCCTAACTCTAACAACCCTCAGCTAAATCATGGCCCTGAGCACCACATCCACACAGATTTTAAACACATCCAGTGATGGTGACTCAACCACCTCCCTGGGGAGCCTATTCCAGTGCTTAACAACCCTTTCTGTAAGGAAGTTTTACCTGATATCCAACCTAAACTTACTCTGGCACAACTTAAGGCCACTTCCCCACATCCTGTCACCTGTCACCAGTGAGAAGAGACCAACCCTGCTCTCACTGTAAGCACCTTTCTGATATTGGAAGAGAGCAATAAGGTCTCTCTTCAGCCTTCTTTTTCCCAAACTAAACAGCCCCAGTTCCTCCAGTTGCTTTTCACAGGGTGTATTCTCCAAGCCCTTCACAAGCCTTGTTGCCCTTCTTTGGACAAGATCTAAAAGGAACTTGTCATGTTAACATTTGTTCCATGTGTTTGTTACTACCCAAGGAATTAAAACTCCTACACATGGAGCAGCTTTCCATATTTGCTAGCAGGCTAAACCAGCTTAGAGTGGTGTTTACTACCATGTCTTGATGTAACATCTTGAAGCAAGTGTACGTGTGCATAATGAAGAAGCGCAGTGTACTTCATAGAGGAGATATGAGGAAAACTGTTCTCAGCTTTACTTCCTTGGGATATTAATTTTATGAAGATTTAATGGTTGCCTTAAGATCGTGCCTTTGAAACCAAATTTTAAGAACGTGTTGAAAGACTGTTAGTTCTATCTTCTTTTTCTTGTTTGTTTGTTTTGCTTTTTGGTTTGGTTTTTTTTGTTTGTTTGTTTTTGCACTTTTTTGACACATTTTGCACTTGGCCCATAAGGAGCTGTGTGTCCAACTGTACTGTGAAGCTTGAGGTAGCTTCATTTTCAGTCATTAAGAACTTAGTATATAGCCTTTTCTTGTCATGGGAATCAGGATCCAGAGATTAATTCTAGGCTAATTTGTAAACCTCAGTGCAACTGCTAACAAATATGCAGCCTAGATCCATTGTCAAATTGATCGTGTCTGATTGGAAGTGAATCTAGTTAGCCAGGATGAAATGTAATATAGTCAATAGTTTCTAGGATATGAAGTGATTTAGTGAATTAAATCTTAATACTACACTTTTTCTGAAGATGGTCTCAGCAAATACTAGGTTCTTGAAATGCTAAATTTCATGGTATGAGTAGTATCTCTTTATAGGGACCTTGCCAGAAATATAGACAAGTGTAATATAAACATGAATAATAGAAAAAAGTTACTAAGTAAAATATTCCTGTTTGAGATATGCTTTCTCAAATACCAAGGTGAAAACATTTCCCCTTGTTTCCTTTGGCTAACTTTATTCTTACTGATGTCTTCAAAACTTGGCACAGTGAAGTTGAAGCAATGGCAGTGAAAGAAAACACTAGCTGT